CCGCCACAGTGGTTTAAATTCCTGGGGAGAACACTGAGAAAGGATTAGATTTCCTTGAAATTAGCAAAGCGTTTTTTTTGCTTTTATAGTTTGTACTTTGGGGGTGAGGGTGGGTAGGGGGGGGGGGTGATAACATGTCCAAATCAGTTATGCAACACATCTGAAGCGTAATTTTGATCACACCACAATTCTTAACATGCAGTGAAACACATTATTACCCAGTAATGTTCACTGAAACAAATTTTTTACCATCTCAGGAAACTAATTTAGACAGTTAATTATTTCCCCTTTGGGTTCAATGCCAGAATGAAAAATCCATTTGGTTTTAGGGGAGTTACTTTTACTTTACTTCTAATCCAACTCATTTAATAATCCACTTTTTTAGTGCTACACTATTACTACAAAATCATTCCTCGTGTGATATTTTTCTGCCATACAAGTACAGAACTAAATCCATGACCAGTGCCTGCAAGTTCTTTTAGCCTATATGTCGCGCAACTGACACAAATTTATGCTAATTCAATGGAGTGTCATTTGACGCAGCAGAAAAACTATCTTAACGTCTAAGTTTGCAGAATTTGTAATTTTGTAAAATGAAATTCACAGAATAAGCGTGAAAATCCAGGGGCCCCCAAAACTGTTTGTGCCTCAAGTCACATACACTTTTTGAAGACCTATTTTCAACAGTCAACAAACTGAACTTGAATTGAGGGATTTCACTTTGACTACAGGATTATAAAGAATCAGTCTTATTAGACACACTGACCAACGCCAGGATTATATCACCCCCCCCCCAAAAAGTGGCTGTCTAAAATCTATATTGAAATGCAAGATAATCATCTGTTGCCAAAGACTTTTTGAATATTTATAGATATTTTGTACAAACTAGAAATTCCCAAACAAAAGTTGATAGGTTTGTAGAAATTTATCATGACAAATCAAATTTTATGCCTAATTAAAATGACAGGCAGCTGGCTAAAAGCCAGACCAGCACAATACATGCCTACACAGTATTTAACTATATCAGCGTATAACTATTTAAAGACTAAATTACAAATACATCATGTGATAAACATATTGTCTCAGTTGTATTAACACCACCATTTTACGGATATTTGCAAGCTATTGTGCAGTTTTATTATTCACTCATATAACTGTGCTTAAAACATGTTTTATATGAATTTGAATTTTTATATGAATTATGAGTGTCCAACAAAAATATATTTCTATTGCCACTTTTTGCATGGCTTAAGGTAGAAGCCTACTCATAAATTAAAATATCCAGAATTTATTCATTTTGCAATAAACTGTACTCCAAGGCAAGGCAATATTGAAAAAAGTTGGGGGTCACCAGCTTTTTTTTGAGAAAATGATGTTTGTATTTTAGTGGAAAGTCGCCATTTTGACACTATTATAACACTTTTACCATAGGTTCCTACGGCAGAGATATTATGCAATATCTCAAAATCTAGCCTGAAAAATCATTTATTGTTATTGATGGAGTACTTTTTGTTGTTCTGAATTATTTAAAAATCTGGGTTTTGAAAAGTGTTAAAAAATGACATTTTTCTTTGATATTGTTCTAAAAAATAGTAATTTTCAAGAAATATTGGGACACGTTTCTCAAAAAGCTTAACTGTAACACACAAAATAATGCTATTTCATTGTACCATGGGACATTAGCTTCAGGATTGTACATAATAAACATGGTCATGCAAGACAAAGCTTGTTGACACTATGGTACTACATAAAGCGTTATAATGGCTTTCTTATATTTGCCATATATATTCACGGATCCTTCTCTTTGGGAAGCAAGAGTTACAATTACTGTATTAGACTAACATAGGGTACATTTCCAATCAAGTACCCATCACTTCCATAATAGCCCCAATTTGATTGCATTAACATAACCTTTTTTCACTGGACACAGTTCTAATCAATGTTCTAAATAAAATATAATGCACTTGTTACCAGCAGACCAATGTTTACATTATTTTTGTTTTTGCAAATCAACACCGTTAATTTGCAATAAAACGAAATTGTTAATTAGCCATAAAAAGAATTTATGACATAACACAAAATTTTATTATAACATTTTCCTTGGTGAAACTGGTGCATTGCAGTGAAAACATATCCAGGCAATAATAATTTTAACCTATTGTCATATGCAACAAGAGTACTACAATGCTTAGTGACCAAGAGGTCACCAATTCACTTATTCTTGGATCTCGTCACGAATTGGGCAGTTTACAGATCATTACACAAACATGGGAAGCTAAAATTAAAATCAAGCATATTTTTTAGAGGGCTTAATGCTCATTCCCTGAAAACTTTTTATTTTGCGAAGTGGAGGTCACTGGAAGATAATTCTATGAATGAGGTAGTTCAAATTTGCCTGCTATCTAAGGTACAAGCATTTTTCTTATTGTCTCATTTTTTGTTTTGTTTTTTATCCAGAACTATAATCATTAAATACAACTGCCAAGTAGTTCATAAAAGAATTAAAGGTTATTTTCTTTAAGTAAGATGCCTATCTGTTTGCCTACTGCTTTTTAAAATGTTTTTTTTTTTTCTATAATACTTTGTTTGATGACAATTAATGTGAATGTAGTTGAAGGCACAATTGTGAGGCACAAGCCAAGTTTCAATGAATTAAATCTATAATATCCCATAAGTTGTACATTTATGATTGGCCTTATTTTTCAATCTTAACTAAATCTCAATTAGTTGCTCACTAATAAATCAGAAAAATGTTTTTAATCAAACAAGTGCAGGGCTTGATCTTCAAATTGAAGAGGGCATCTATTTACAAGACTTGAATTCATGAAATTACCTTTATAGAAATAACATCAAAGGGCAATCTATGAAATTCAAGCCCTGCAAGGGATACAAAAACATAAATTGACAAGGGGATAGCAAATTATTGCTCATTACAGTAGAGCGCCGTTGTCAAATGAGAAGAAGGTCGTGAGATTTTGAGCCCAAAAATTGTTTTTTGATGAAAGGGTTCTTTAAGAACACTCCTATTTTTTGATTATCAATTACCATAATGAAATAAACAATCAATAAACATATTCTAATATTCATATGTAAATTTGCAGTGACAATTCCATATTTTTTTCAGGGATATCCAAATTTGCACCAGATTATAAAAAAAATATTTTGGTCCAAATTTAAGTTTGAAAAGCAGCATACACTAAAATTGTACATAGAACGATGGAGACTTGATCTACATCGTTCTTAAACACTGGATCAGCCTTAATTATTCAATCTCATCTATTCATAATATTTGAATTTAATGATGAATTCAGTACATTGACAAACAGACCTGGTCTCCACTACTTTGGGACGAATATCAAAAGACCTGTCTTCATACATACAATGCAATGCCAATTCAATTGTTTCACTTTCTGCCAGCAGAGTAAACTGCACACATGTACAGCATACAGCATGTGAGTGAATATACGACATAATACAAACACACTCTGGCTCTTACACACCAGACATAGCGTCCCTATCTGATAACACTTCTGTAGAAAAACACAATCCTTGTGTCTTGCCTTCAGATGTTGCGGTGATCACTGTCCAAGTAGTGCGGATAACAAACCAACCAAGGGGCAAGGAAGACACCTCTCAAGTTGGTTGCCACAGAAACCAGTTGTTGAGGATGAGGCTGTAAGTTTACAGCAAAGGGAAAAATACAGTATTAATATATGATCAACATTATTTACCAATGCATGAAGTACAAATATACACTGATGGCACAATTTATTTAAGTGAGTGAGTGAGTGAGAAGAGAAATGTACAGTGTAGTATGTACTGTGTCGTGTACATGTGATGCCTAAAAAGGTAGTAATTAATCAAAAAAGTAGCTGTAAAAGAAAGGTTTTCTCATCAATCATATCCATTTTAGACAAGCTTGTTTTTTTTATATTTATAATTCTAACTAGTATGTGACTGTCAGTTGTATACCTATGGGAACCTACTCTGGCAAGTAGTATGGTACAGTCCAAGTCTAAAACTTGACACCTTGGCTGCTGCAAGCTCTTTAGACACACCAAAATTAATTGGGAGGGAAAAAAGGAAATTGGCAGGCATTGTGTTGAGTGTTTACACTTATGTAGGTAGAACTTGCTTAAACATTCAGTTTGAGGCAACAAAGGCAGTTTTCCTAAATGTCTTTCAAAATAAATGTAAACCAAAAGCACATCTTCAATAGAAGTGCATATAAACCACAAATCTTGTGTTTTATACTGAATTCTATTTTAACCACAGAAACGGTTCTGTAATTTATGTATCGATGCATTATGTATTGATGTATAGTTTTGATCTTTAAATTAATTAGTAAAATTATTTAATTCTAGTCGAGACCAGTTTAAATTGTCACATATAGAAATAATTAGCAGTAAGTAGGAGGCAATGTGTCAAGTTGGATTTGAACTGTAGCTAGGAATTAATTGAAAAACACAGAAGACAGTGAAATAATATTTAACCCCTTCATAGAAATCTTACATTTCTGTGTGAATCTAGTCAGATGACACTGTGTTGTTCAACCCTCCCATTGAAATACAACTGAGAACAGGCACATAACTTTATTTCGTATGATACATACCTGTTATGTCGCTTCTGTCGCACATGATGAAATACGTTTATGACATCTCTTATTCTTCTTGGAGCTTCCTCAATTTTGGAAGCCAAGTTGATGCATGCCATAGCTAGAGTCTAAGGATTGGGATAGAATTAGAAGGAAGGGGAAGAAAAGATTATTAAAGATGTGAAGTGTAAATAAAACAAGGCTTTCATATTAACCACAGGCTTTGTGACTGAGTGTAAAATTAATAAACCACCTTGTATCAAAACTGAGAACTGACAAAGCTACAAATTGAGCAGAATCCAAGGACACAGATGCATGTGCCAGGAATACTACTGTAAATCAATTTATATTCACTGGCATTCAATTTTACTATTTGACTTTTTGAGCAAATTCACAGGTTTTTAGTTCAATTGTTATTTCATATGTTTATGTTGATTTAATTTAGTTCTCTTATTAGCAAAAATGGTGAAATAAAAAAACAGTGAATAATCAGTGTTTGCAGTATTTTCTAAAATTCGTAGCCCAACTGGACTATACTAGAAAATTTTAAATAATTAAAATATGTCTACACTGATATAAGTATATAAGTATGGCTTGTCCTACAAAAATCAAGTTTAAAAACACAAACCAATGTAAAACGCATGTATTCTCTAAGACAGGCCGGAAACAAGACAAAAACAAAAGATTTTCCAAGTTAGCATGGGGGAAATAACGTTGCTAAGTAACATCGTCAAGAAAAGCTATTGTTTAAGCTATTCTGTGATTGGTTGCTGGCAATGTTTGGCGGATTTTGACCAGTTTGTGACGTCGGCTCGACTTGGGGAATTACATGTTTTGCAAATAAACTTGGACACTACCAAAAGTGGTTTGAGATAATCATGAATCAGTTCTTTCACAGAGTTATATTACGTCAGGTTTTCCAGAAATATAGGTTTGTATTGCAATATTGAGATCATATCGCCTTTCCTGAGTTTACTTTAATTCTCATAAGATCTTTATGTCATATAACACCCTTGAGTACCCTCATTTTATAAATCCTTGATAATATTGAATTACTCATCCATCTACTCAATCACATCCGACATTTTCAAGGTCAATCAACTTTGACATTTTATAAACCTACCTCCATGCTGTGCTTCACAAAGGATTTTGAATAATAAAATCTTTGTAGGATGACCTGGGCTGTAGCCATTGCGACCTGTTGGAAACAAATGAACATGGCAAATGAAATAGTAACGCAGTTAAACACGATCGCGAGATTATGAACATGACGAAACTGTAAGATATTCGTGAACAAAACTATGTAAAAACAGTTGACATCGATTGCCGTGTCAATAACACAATATTACAATATTTAGCTGACTGCGTTTGAATGTTCGAATAAAATGAGTACATGAATTATAACGCTTTTTGCAACAAAAGGCTTCGATTACTGGCAGCCATTTTACTTTTTCACAAACCTGAGGTAACTTCAGCAAAATTCCAGCAGTCTGAATTAGCTCACATCCCAAGATTCTGAGATCAATTTCTGTCTCCATGTCGAGTCCATCGATCATAGAAGGGGTTGGTGACAACTTATCGATCGGCAATATACAGTTGTCAAGAGTAATTGCGACTTTTCCATACGTCTTTTCTGGTTTCTGACCACTCTCCGCCATTTTGACTAACAACGTTTCATGCACGTTAGGAATCATGTGATTATTGAAGGTCGATATCAATACGCCAATAATGTAAAATTTACCACTTTTTGTTTTTACACTTCGACATCCAGATTATTTATAACATAGTGGTTATTTACCAGGTTTTTCGTCTTTAAAAATTACAATTATAAAACATACCTTTGAAATTCCAACTATCGTTGAGGTGGTTATTTGGTAGCGAGGCGAACGTATACATGTGAATTGAACAAAGTGCCGAGGCAACAACCAGGTGCATGCTGGGAGCTACATGACGTCGCCATTACCGAGAAAACCCCTTTCAAATGAGCACCTATTTCCTTATATAATAATAATAATAATAATAATAATAATAATAATAATAATGTTTATTTGCCATAGATTACATAAAAAATAACAATACAGCAATAAATAATAACTAATAAATATTGATAAATAATAATAATATTAATCTATGGCTGGGAAACAGAAATTAGCTCATGCAGAGCTAGTCTAGTCTATTTCCCATCAAAATATATTTGTAAATAGCTATTTATTAAAAAGGGCAATCAAGTAGACAGAAAAAACTTATTTACAATGGTTTGCTTACACACCGATACATGTTTGTATGCATCTATATATACATATTGGAATATAACTATGAATGATTACAGTGGATTAAATAGTCTTTCACTTCTTTTTTAAAATTTGCTCGAATACGAATCAATTGGATATCCAGGGGTAAG